TAATAACTTGTGTAATAAATAATCTGCATTTAATAAATAATAACTTGGTCCAGGTTCAAACCGTCGAGGTTTTGCAGTTTTTCCAGTAAACTGGTTCAGTTGTAGTTGTAGTGAAATAGTTTTTCTAATTTCCATCCTAAAATAAAACCTTCATGATTAAGAAATAATTTTATTATTTTTATTTTCTTTTACCTGCAGCAGATTAAGAGTCCACACATTAGAAATTGGAGCCCTTTCTTGAACTGAAGAAACTTTGTTTTAAATTAAATCCAGGGGTTTAGATAATCCAGAAGATCCTCCTGCTGCCTTTGGGTCCAGAGGACCCCTGAGGCCTCGGTCCTGAACCTGAGACCTGGGGGTCCTTTTGACCCAAGTGTGACTTTATCAAACCTTCCTAAAGGTCTCAGCAGGTCAAAGGTCATGACCGGTCAGTCAGGTAAGGCCTGACCCGGTCTGGATGTTCTGGTTCTGTTCATGTCTCAGTTTTTGTTTTCCCAGAATTCCCTCTGATCTCTCGTCGTCATGGCATCCACGTCCGTCACCACCGTCGGTGGAGTGATGGTCATAACGCAGGTCATCCCTAAAGATGACCCCTCCATCCCTCTCCGGGCTCCCGCCAACCCTGCACAGCAGGCCCCGCCCCCCAAAGTGACGACTCCACCCCCTGTCTCAGGAAAGGACAGTAAAGTGTTCCTGGGGGGGGAGCAGCAGGGCCTCGGGGTGAGAACCTGAAGCTGCCCTCGTCCACCAGGCAGAGGAGCTTGGGATTGAACCTGTGGTGTGTTTTCAGGTCGTGCAGGTCATCATCGGCGTGTTGTGTGTCCTCTTCGCTCTGATCGGCGTTTACTCGGCGCCGCTGGTCGTCTACGCTCCGTTTGGCCTCGGCGTTGTCGTACGTAAACACAAACCTGATCGTCGCTCTGACGGGTTTCAAACGTTTAAATCAAGTTGGGTTTTTTGTTGGTCCTGGGTCTGTTTATTGCTGCAACAACCCCACATCATGACACTCCCTCCACCGTGCTTCACTGTTACATAGTTTATTTTGTTTCCCTCCAAACCACAGGTTTTAGTTTGGGACAGATTCTTCTTTTTCTTCTAATGACAGAAGTTCCAGTACATATCCACGTCCCAGCATCATCTGGAGGTTCTGATTGTGATGAAAGAGGAGGAGTCATAAGATCGTTAAAATTAATACAAAGATGTGTTTTCTGTTTAATTTATTGAAGTCTTGTTCTTTTGTCTCTCTCAAAGCAGCGCGTCTATTTCCTGAACCAAACTTTAACGACTTCAGTTCTAAAATCAGCGTCAACTTTAGTCCGTGTGTGTTTTGTGTTTTCAGTTTGTGGTTTCGGGCGCGGTGGCCGTGGCAGCAGGAAGACGCTCCTCAACAAGACTCGTAAGTTTTTACTTTTTACGATCAGACAACAAATATAAACTGCTGGTTTGGTTTTAATGAGGATTTTAAAATATTTTGTCTTTTTTTTTAATTCAGAAAAATTAAAGAAATGATCACAACAAAGATGGGTTTAATTTCAGATTCATTCAGTAAAAACAAAATGGTAAATATAAAACTAACTGTTTTTTATGTGTTAATCTGAAGCATTTTTAAGCTTCTGAAACATTAATATTTTTGTAAAACATCAGTTAATATAATTTGTTACTGACAAACTGAACGACGTGTCTGTTAGTAAAATAAATCCATACGGGTAAGTCCATACAGTTCAGTGATGATCCAGGAATTAAACTGACCCTGTATTCAACCAGTAAACAGAACCAGAGCCACGGTTTGAGCCAATCAGAGCAGAGCAGGGCGGGGCCTGTGTTCAACCAGTAAACAGAACCAGAGCCACGGTTTGAGCCAATCAGAGC